AGGGAGAGAGAAGGGGGGTGGAGGGAGAAAGAGGAGGAGGGGGACTGAGGGAGTGATGAAAGGGGAGGGGGAGAGAGAATTGAGGCAGGGGGTGGGGCCTTTCGAACAATCGCTCTGTGCCTTGTTGGGTTGGTTCTGAAGGTTCAGCAGAATTGTGATTGACCTTTTCTGGGGATGGTAATGAGAGCAAGGCTCGTGTCTGAGTGGATGAAGAAATGTGTGGGGGTCTGGCCCAAGCCCACTCGGGTTACAGCCCCAGAAGAGCCATAATGGGGAACAGGCGCATTCCTGTACAGCGACTCCCAACTCCCTATCTGTTTTCAAGGAAAGAAAAACAGAAAAAGAATGTTAGAGTCTTGGACAGGCATGGGCGAGGCGGCAGTAGCAGCCTGGGTCTGGAAGGGCTCAGCCACGCGGCTGTAAGGACATCCTAGGGAGGAGGGGACAGAGGTGCCCTGGGCGGAGTGTCCTAGTGGGAGGCGCACGGTGTTTAGAGGCAGAAGAGCCGGGTTTGGGTTCTGGAGCCTGCCTGGGAGTAGCTGCGAAGCCTTGAATGGGGCTGCAGCATTCCTGTGTCTCTATATTCCTATCAGGGAATGTGGCAGGGTTTTAGGATTCAAACATTTTAAGCAATAAAACTTTGAAGCCAGGGTTTTAAAAACAGTTTCTATTCCCAACCTACATAAAACATGGACCATTAGTAACTGAAATAGGTCAAGCTGGAGCTGATCTAGTTGAAGGTTAGTGTGGGTATAGAGAAGACAGGCTTCAGCCGCCACCACGTGTATGTTTCTTCTTACCCCGGAGTTCTAGATATTCACATCCGCAAACCGCGGTTAGAATGTATTGCGGACATGAAACACATTGAACCCCTCCTCCTGCCTCTCCTGGGCGTTCTGTCTTTCTCGGAGGTTCCAATTTTAAGAAGACGGCGGGATGGACCTGTGTGCCTTGTACAGTGCTTGGCACCTAGTAAATGCCTAGTAAATACAGCTCACAGTCATGCTGAATAGAGGTGGTCAGAAACTGAGGAGCATGGGCTCTGGAAGCTCTTCAGTTCTCAGTGATATTATCTCATACCCGGGCCGATATGAATTATCTCATAAGCTATTGGTGTCAAGAGATCAAGTTTTGAGACCCAGTTTGGTTCCAGGTCTACCTCCCACTCTGTGTATGGCCATGGATATGCCACTTTTTTTTTTTTTTAAATCTGGGCTTCAGTTTTGTCACCTGGAAAAGGAGCAGGTTGGACAAAAATAATTTCTAAGGGTCCTTATGTCTCTCCTCTGTTATGACGACAGCAATAATAACAATGAGAGTTGATACATTTTTTGAGCTCTTCCTGCATGTCAAATGTGTGAACTGATTTGTAAGCAATACACATGTACTGTATTTTATATGACATTTACAGCAATACTGTTAGATTAGGTACCGTTATTATACCCATTTAACATATGATGAAATGGACACAGAGAGTCAAGAAACCTGCCCAGGGAACGCTGTAAGCGGGAATGTACCAGGATTTAATCAGAGCCCAGTCTCTTCACCGCTGCACCATATTGTTCATTCCATGATACCGCTGCCAGATGTGGGCTGTGATACAGTGTGGAACCACAGTGCGTGTGTTGAATTGCACTGATTCACATTTGTGCATAGAGAAGCCCCCAGGCCTTTCTTAGTCCCCCTCCACTAGGTGATGGAGGACAGCAAGGGGTCCTTCACCTGTCTCCTTCTAGGTTCCATTTAAACCTGGACTGGGGAGCCAAAACAAGCAGTCTTACAGTTTACTTTATGGGTCTGTTCTTGTATTTAACAACCCTTCCTGTTGTCAGATTACAAGCTGTAGAAGATCAGGGACCATTTCTTTTATTGTTTTATTTTCCAAGCCCATAGAGCTACGAGAGTGGCATGCATTCAATCGCAAATTGAAAAGAATCAAGAAAGCTTGCCTTGTAACACTATCATTTTTTTTTTAACTTTCTCTAGGAGGCAGCATAGCATAAAAGAAAAGGTATGGCTTTGGAATTAGAAGGATATGTGTTCAAATCTCAGCTCTGTCTCTTCTTAAACTTGTGAGCGGAACTTCAGCTTTACCACGGAAATACTAACATTTAACTTATTAAGACTGAATGTTGTGAGGATTAAATGGGAAAAATAAAAGTTGGTACTAAAATATCAGTTTCCTATGTCATATTAACCCTTTTCATTTGAAGGTTATTTTATATATATATATATATATATATATATATATATATATATATATATCCCAAACAGAATTGGACACTAAATACCCTTATAATGTCCTTGATAAGACTACTTGTATACTCCACATTATCCAGTTTCTTCTCTTGATCTAAAACTATAAACCTTACAACTGTGTACCGATCTTCCTGACCAGACATTTTTATGGGGCTTTTGTCCATGGTCTAAATTATTCTGAAATGCATGGAAATATCTGGAGAGCTATGCCCATTTGAAAATGAATGTCAACCACCTTTTGGCTTGAAGACAGTTAGTTAATACAGGCCACAAGCATGCTGAATTCCCTTATGAAGGGCCAGCTCCTTTAATGGCTATCTGGAAACAAATTGAAAGGCAGACAGTCATGGATCCAAGCTCAAAGAAAACAAATGTCAGCAGCCAGACTTGGAATCCTGAAAAAACAAGAGAAACAAAGCCCTTACTCCATCCAGTGAATAATCCCCCTTTCCCCCTTCTGTTTTTCACGCCATACATTGTTCTGCTTTGGTACCTACGGGAAGACATTGTTGGTTTATGATTTTGTTGTGGAAGAAGTTTGACATGAGAAGCCTACGGAAGAAATAGGGGCTGTCAAAATTTGTGATGAAAAAAGGTTTAATTTACCTCTTCATTTTCTAGCAAAATCTCTGGTTCTAGACAGACTTTCTTCCTAGACTCAGTCTTTCTAGACTCCAAACTCATGAAAGAGTCATTGACACCTTGCTGCAGAAAGGAAAACTGAGATTTGAGAAGTTAAGAGACTTGTAATAAATGATGGAATGTGACTGCAGTCCCAAGTCTGTCTGACGGCAGCAGCTGAACTTGTGTGTCACTGACATTAGGCTGGTTCAGACACTTGCTCTGGCATTTACATGTCAAGTCTGTGAACTGTGTGTTGTCTTTGTGAAAAACGGAAAACAGAAACACTACTCATCAGATCTGCTATGTGGGACTGTAGGGACAAACACATGATAGAAATGTTGTTCATTTGAATCCCAGGACCGTCTAGATAGTTCCTGATGGACAAGTGTTACATGAGTCACTTGCAAGTAAAGGATGAAACTTTTCTTTAAAGGACCACATGGAGGTGATCTGTAAATTTTGTTCATCCAGTTCCCTGTCTTCTCAGACACTAGAACCAACGTTAGTATTTTATGGTGGGTCTGTCATATGAGACTGTCCTTAATCCCAAGTAGAGAGAAGGTAGTTGGATGGACATCCTCCTCTTGTTTATTGCTGAGAATCTAAGCAGGGAGAGAGTGTAAGGCCTTCCATCCCAGGCATGAAGGAAAACAAGGAATCAACAGTTGGGAAGCCTCATAGAATTTCATACCGTATGGTATAAAATACCTCACATGCCTCCTTTGCTCCTAAATCATCCAGATTTAGAACTGGGAGAGAATTTAGAGCCTATGTAATCTGGCTCATTTACTTTATCTATTTTTAAGTAATTTTTATTGATTTTTTTTCTTCCTGCAAAAGCAGTACATGTTCATTGTAGATATTTTTAAAAATAGAGATAAGCAAAAATACGAGAGAAAAAGTACCCATTATCTCATTTTCCAGACAAAGCTACTATTACGCATTTGCTGTATTTCTTCTTTTTCTAAATAGATGTATGTGTAAAATTTCCACCAAAATTAAATTATTCTGTAATAGTGTAACCTGTTTTTAACTTTCTATGCCATGAATATCCTTTCAGATAACTTCATAGTTTTCCACAATATTATTTTTAATGGCTATAAAATATTCCATTGCATCATTGAACTATAATTGATATTGCTGCTTCCATATCATTGAACATTTAGTTGTTTTTACATTCTTGCTAGTTTGAATAGTACTGCAGTGTTTATCCTCATAACTTAATCTTCATGCACATCTGTGTTTTTATTTTATTATTTATTTATTTGGAAATCATAATAGTGGCTCTGGCACCTTCGCTTTACAGAAAACTAGAGCAGAGATGGGAATCTCGTTGCCCAAAACTATACAGCAAGTTCGTAACAAAGCTAAGCCTGGATCCCGAGATTCCAGACGTTCAGTGACTCCTCCTAGTCTTCCTCTGACCCTGTTAGCCCTATTTCTAGTAAACTTCAGCTGTTTCCTCAAATCCAGTGGCTGGATTCACTTTTGGAAATCATGGAACTGGGGGCACTTGCTCTTCTACTGTCCCTTTTTGTCTCATGACCTTTATCACTCGTCAGTCATGGAACTCTCCTCACCCCGTTAGCTGGACTGGTCTCCGCCCATCTCAATACAACACTCCATGAATCCAGGACCAGTGCGTAAGACTGACTGTATGACATAAATCTGTTTTACATCCTTAGCCCAACTCCTTCTTTATATAAGGAAGGAAACTGCAATTCCAAGGAGGAAGAGCCTTGCTTTAGGAGTTAAGAGGAAGTTAATGGCGGTGACAGGGCTGGAATTGTGACTCTAGACAGAAAGCACTGTCCCGTTATTGCCTTTTCATGCATTTTTATTACACGATAATTTACCTCATTTGAGCCTTGGAACAGCCTTGTGATGGTAGGTATTAGTATCCCCACTTTACAGTTGAGAAAATTCAGGGATAAATTTAAACGAAGAGTCATCAGGGCTAGACACTGATCTGTGTCACTTGCATATCCTGTGCTCATTCTCCCCATTAATCCTCTTAACTAATGGTATCCAGACATTTGATGGGTTTGGACAACAGCAGGCATGTCTGCTCACCAAGGCCTGAGCTGGGGAGCTCATCTCTCTTTGTCTCCCTCCAGGAGAATTCCTGAGTTTTGCCGATGACTTACTCTCTGGCCTGGGCACATCTTGTGTAGCAGCTGGTCGAAGCCATGGAGAGGTCCCTGAAGTCAGTATCTACTCCGTCATCTTCAAGTGTCTGGAGCCCGACGGTCTCTACAAGTAAGACCTGCTTTGTGTGTGGGGAGCATGAAGCAGACAGGACGGCTTCGATCTGGGAGGCAAGGCGGGCGTCGTCTGTCCAGGCCAGCCAGGTGTTTTATAGGCCAGTCTGTTTGTTCACCGTGATATTCTAAGGTTTAGAAGCGTCCGTTGGAGAGTATGACCACAGTGAGTCACAGAATCATATAGGGCTAGTGCTAAAGGGCCCGGGGAGGCCAGTAATTCAAAACCATTCATCCTACTGAGGAAGAATCTGCAACCCAGAGAGGGAAAGTGGCAAGTTAGCAAGGTGGGCTAAGACAGGAGTTCCCTGCCTGGTGTTCTTTTCTCAATTCCATGCTGTCTCTCCTGAGAAACATTAAATTAGCATATCTGAAGTGTGTGTGTGTGTGTAGTGTGTGTATTGTGTATATATGTATATATAATATATAATTTTTTTATTAATGGATCCATGCAACCCCTTAGTAATAGTGTCATCATCACTCCTTCAAAGAGTACACCGGGGTAATTGCATCTACACTTCTGGAAATGCAAAAGGAAGTCATTCTGAGACTCATCCATTCATCTCAGAGGGAGAGGGGACTCCTTTTCCCTTTGTTCCCCAGCACAAAGGGATGCATCTGGATGCAGTCATCATAAGCTATAACGCAGAGTCCTAGAGACAGCTCTCTTTATTCTTTAATGATGAAACTGTAGGTTGCCTCCCTTACCTATCTAGAAAGCTGCAGTTGTTGACAAAGTGAGTGTTACTGACCAAGCATTCAACTCATTTATCTTTTTCTTTAATTCACTTCCTTAATGATTCACTCAGTTATCCGTCACTCTGTCCAACCATTAATCCATATCTCCATCCGTCCGTCCTTCTCTCTTCCCTTTATTCATCCATCCATCTATTCCTCCATCCCATCTATTCATTCATCCATCTATCTATCCGTCTGTACATTCACTGTTATACACCATCATTCATTCACTTATTTATTCATCAGTTCTTTCATTCATTCACATTTTTATTCACTCATTCATAACTCATTTACTTTTCAGCAAACATTGTCTGAAGAGCTATTCTCTATGAGGCTGGTTGGGGTCTCATTACCCCGGAAAGAGTAAACACTCAGGATCCTTTGGGGTAGAAATAGGGTGAAAAGAGAGCATGGGTCCAGACCCCCAAGTTTTAGTTAAGCACAGCTGGGCACCAAGCCCCTCATCTGTGCCATCAGTAGGTGTGATGGAGAGATTAGGGTGACATGGGCATGGAAGACCCATCTCTCAGGAAGGAAGTCTGGCATCACATCTCACTACCACCACTTCTGTCTCTGAGACCTTACACGGAACATTCACAGCCTTTCCTCGTCCCACGGTCTCAGCATCTTCAAAATGAAGGTGCATTAGATCCACCCCAGCTGGAGAGTTCTGGAAATGCAGACTTATGCCGTGAATTTTTTTTTTTAACCCTCGTTCTCTGTCTTCTCCTCCTGGGCTCTTGCCCTTCCAACTTTCCTACCTCTCTCACTCCTGTTTTGCCTTACCATACCTCTCTGCATCTTGTCTGTCTCTCCTTGCCTTGTGTTCCCTTTCTTGTGAGTATTTTCTGTGTAGCTCACTGGCTTTGTCTGCCATTCTTCCAATCATCCCTTCTTTGCCTTTCTGTTATTCTCTTAGTTTCTGTTTCCATATGAGTATCTCAATTTCTCTACTGTGTTTCTTGAGTTTTGGTTCCTTGCACTCGCGTGCTCGCTCGCTCGCTCTCTCTCTCGCGCTCTCTCTCTCTCTCTCTCTCTCTCTCTCTCTGTCTCTCTGTCTCTCTCTCTCTCTCTGTCTCTCTGTGTCTCTCTGTCTCTCTCTCTCTGAATCTGGTCCGCCTGAATCCCCAGTCCCTCTCTCTGCCCCCACCTGGGAAGGCAAGTTGCTTTTGCAGCCCCTCTGTCCATGTGCTTTTACAAAGCACCGCAGAGTTGAGATTAATCGGAGGAGTGAAAGTCAAGGCAGATTTTTTTTTTTGTCCTAAGCTCACCCTGGTGTAACAAAACAGAAACATCAGCACTTGGGCCTGTTTAAATTGAATTTCCTTGTTTGTTTCATTTGTCTACTTTTGAATGAAAACAAACAAAGAGCAGCAGAGGGAGAGGGTCCCCAGAAGGTCTGACAGTGTGACCAGCTCCTGCACCTCTGGGCTGTCGGAGACTGAGGGCGACCCTGAGCAAAGAACCCCCCCTCAAGGTGGATGAGTCAGGCCAGGCTGGACATCCGTGGTCCCTGCCCCTTGCCTGGCCAGAGGCCTAGACACCCTTCTCGCTGCCGCTCCCCAGTTTCCTATTACCCGAGGTAATTAGCCTCTGTCTTGTCTTGGCTGCCTTTCCTTTCTCTGATCGTGGATGACTGCCAAAGGGTCCTGAGCAAACACACAGCAGCAGCCAGGCCTCATTCCTGGGGTGGGGGGCTCATTCCCACACATTCAGAGGCTTGCCACAGGCCCGCCCTCACCTCGTTGGCCTCAGCTCTGTGAAGGGAAGGCCAAGGGAGCCTGGGTCCTGCAGCCACGTGCCAACATCCAAGGTGGGACCAGAGGCTCCAGGGGATGCTCCTTATCAAGGGTGGGTGGAGTTGGAGGAGAGGAGTGGAAGGAAAACCACAGCCCTGGAGGAGGGAAGGCAGGGTGCGCGTGGTGGCGAGCCTGAGGTCTGGAGTCAGACAGCAGTTCCCACACTAGCTCCCCGTGAGACCTGGGGCCGGTTCCTCCCCCTCCTCTGACCTTGAAGTTCTTGTCTGTGGGATGGACAGGTTAAACTCGATGACCTCCAAGACTTGCACACTGAGGTAAACATGGAGCCTCCAGTTCTTCTGGGATAATAGTCAAGTAGTGGTAGTAAGAGTCCACTGAGTTCATTGTGTGTCAGGAACCGTGCTAAGGAGGTGACATGTGCTGTCTCATTTAAGCCTTGCTGTAACCCTACGGATCTGGTGTTGTCATTTTCATATTTCATTTTACAGATGGGAAAACTGGGACTTAAAGGAGTAAGTATTTTGCCCAAAGTCACGTGATAAGAAGAGATAAAGCTGAGATTCATACCCAAGCTGACCCACCTACCCCTCCCCTCTCCCCATATTCTGTCCCTGTCCTTGTCTTCCCACACATGTGGAACTGTCAGCAATACCTGGTAAGGATATGAGTGGAAGAGGGCCTTCTGACTGCAAACAGACGTTTGCAAGGGGAAGAACGCTGGGTTCAGGAGGACCCACATCCCGGCTTGCAGGTCCCCAGGGAAGGTACTTCACACCTCATCTTCCTCATCTATTAAGCAGGGCTAATTAACTTTACCCATGAAATGAAGATAATTAATTATACCTCCTCAAGTTGTTGCAAAGATGAAACTGGATAGTATATGAGAAAGTGCTTTGAATTTGTCATAAGATCGTGTGAAGATGGAAAGTTACCACGATCACTCTGTCAGAAAGCAGCAAAAGGAAGGACAGTAGAAGTTTCAAATCCACATGCCCCACACCCCACCACACATACACATTTTAAGATTAGGCCTTTGATATCAGGCAGAGGTGAGTTTTTAACCTTGGCTTCAGCACCTACACTGTGTGGCCTTAGGCAGATTTCTTAACCTCTCTGAGTTTCAGTTCTATCTTCTGCAAAATGGGATCATAGTAGGGCCTATTTCATAGGATTGTGAGGAGTCAGTGAACTGAAACACACCAAGAACACAGGACGGCGTCTGGCTCGTGGTCGGGACTTAACAAGCGGTGGAAGGAGGAGGGATAAGCCCTGCTGCTACTCTTTGTGGCTGTGTGCTTTACTGAAGCCATCGCGCCTGGGGCTGCGCTGCCGACCACTGGGTCCAGAGCATTCCAGTGGGAGAGCAAGTTACTCTGTCATCTCTGACACTGACTCCTTTACTCAAACCCCCCCAGGCGCTCTTGCTAGAATGTACTAGAATGTACCTTCCTCAAGGTCTCTGCTTCTAGTGTTCTTTCCCTGGGATGGCCTTCTCCTGGCTTTTCCTGTGACTGGCACCTTATGCTCCTTCAGGTCCATGATTAAATGTCATCTCCTTAGAAAGGCCTTCTTTGACCACATTCTCTACAGTAGATCCCACCTGCCCCACACACAGATACACAAAGCCATGGCACACGGTAAAGATGTAGTGATTTAATATCTAGTTTACTTGTCTGTCTGTTCACACTAGACTATCAGCTGCATAGAGCAGAGTCTGCGTCCGCCCTCTTCATTTTAAATCCCTGGCGCCTAGAACAATGCCTGATGCCAGTAAAGAACCCAGTAAATAGTTGTTGAATAATTGGAACAAATTTCCGAGTCAGTGCAACAACCTGGAGAGTACTGACTTCTCCCCTTCACTCACTCCCCGTCTCTAACTCACTTCCTTCCCACATACTCAGGGGACATCCACTGTGTGTCATGCTGGGGTCTAACGCTGTATCTTATATCTCTGTTTCTGTCTTCCTGTGTCTTTCTGTCTCTCTGTTTACCTCCCTACCTGCTTATCTATCTGTCATGAATCTTTTCTAATTTAATCCTCAAAACAACTCCCTAAGGCAGTGACTGTTATTCTTAGTCAAACAGATCGGGCTGCTAAGGCCCAGAGAAGTTAGATACCTTGACCAGAGCCTCAAAGCTAGTAAGTGGAGAGGACAGGATTTGAATTCAGCCAAGTTATTTGCAAAGCTTGAACTTGAAATTACCACACTAGATTATGAGAAGAATTGGATATGTGGAAACGGCAAGGGTCAAGGATAGAAACCGTTTAAAGGGATCTTTGGTGCGAAGATCCATGCTCAGATAAGTTGGAAACACTGTGGGAAACAGATTTGGAGTCTTGACACTGAAAGCTATGTGGCCTCCACTGAACACCAGACTTCTCCCTGCCTCTGAATCCTGGCAGCGCCATGCGAACAGTTGAACCTGAGTCTGTACAAGGACCCCTGCTCCTCGGGGGATGTCCCCCCAGTGCCATTCTTGAGCTGTCCAGGATCTCCAG